GTTCTTAAGATTTTCAAAGAGCAAGGTATGATTCTGACCATACTTTTAGGTCTATCTGAATTCTTCTCAATGGCAGAGACTTCTATAACTACACTGTGGCCATTGAAGGTTTGCTTTCTTGGTTTGAAGATTGATGGTTCTTATAATTAGTGAATAGCAATTGAAATCTGAATTTTAGTATGGAAATATTGAAAAAGTTGAAAAAGATTAATATATGAAGTTGAAGAACATTTACAGTTATTCATTGTTAATGTTTCAGTAACTTTTATGCTTTAGATAAATATATGAAGTTTGTGGTTGTTGTGCAATGGCATTTGCTGACTTAAATATTGGGTTACGTTTAGCAAAGATTAATCTGATACTGCTATTTCAAATTTTGATTGTGAAATTCATGCAGCAGTATTACTGTTGTCTTGCATATATATATTTTTAAGCAAATGACTGCTGAAGCTTTCCCAAACATTTCTTTTGTTGAAATAAATTACTTCTACTCTCAAATCCCTTGGCATGGCGGCTTCATTGCAGTATTATGGTGTTACACTTAGACCTCCCTGCCATCCATCTTCTTCTTCGCATTTCCATTCCCATTCCCATTCCCAATGTCTATCCACTATACAGCATCTTAGTACCTCTTCTCATTTGCGTTCCCCTATAAGTAAAATTTTGAGGCTCAGTTGCCAGGGAACTATTCTTGATACAATTAAACAAAGTAATGAGACTGAAAATCTGAGTTTAGGCAAAGCAACAACCAATTGATGTGTGTTATGAAGTTTGGAGGCTCATCCATGGCCTCTCCTGAGAGGATCAGAGAGGTTGCAGCGGTTATCCTCAGCTTCCCCATTGACAGGCCAGTAATTGTTCTCTCTGCTATGGGAAACACAACAAATAAGCTTTTGTTGGTAATGCCTTTCTTCTAATTTACCCTGTAAATGTAAATGCAATCTTTCTCACTTCTTTCTCTCTGTCTTTGTCAAAGAATTTCATTATCTGTTGACTATCCAGGAAGGAGAGAAGGCTATTAGCTGTGGATCACTAATGTGGAAACCATGGATGAGTTGAGTTTCATAAAGGACCTGCATCTTCAGTATGTTCAATTCTATACAAGGCTGTAATAACTAGTTGTATGAATTTATTCTCTTCCCTCTCTCTCTTTCATCATCAAATTAATTAATGTTCAGGACTGTAGATGACCTTGGAGTTGAGAGGTCAATAATTGAACGTGAGTTTTGTTTGCTCTTTGACTTATTTGTTTTTGTTTCATGTTGCTACTTTGGAAAACTTTTTGCTTGCTTAAATAAGCTGAACAGGTCTTAAGAATTAAAACTGTTCTCTTGGACATCAACCAACTCTTTCTAGCTAGTGGCTAAATCAAGTCCTTGATCTTGATTAGTCAAACAAGTCCTTCTAATATTGTTCTTTCATCCATGTTGGATCTGGGAGAAATTCCTCCTGTGCCTCAATTAGTCATAAGGATCGAAATGGGATTCCTTACCTTGTGAGTTCAAGTGCTTTATGTGTTTTAGGATATTGCAGTGTGCTAAATTAGTCAATTTCCTGAAACATTTTATCAGTTAAAGCCATCAACATTGAGTGCTGGAATTTCAGAGTGTCTACAAACTTTGAGATATCCTCAATTTTCAAAACAATCCCAGTTTGAACATCCTTATATCGTTGTCTCCTCCCATCCTTATAATGTTGGTACTAAGTTTTGTTTTTATTTTTTGTATATAGAGAAAACCTAATTTAATTTTTAATTTTTTGATCTTTTCTTAGGGATATGAGCTTGAATTGCCTTAGTTAAAGTGTTGAAAATTTGAATTATTAAATTCTGTAGAGAATAGATGACTATAAATCAATTTTACCAATCATCTTTCTTGATTTTAGACAATGTAAAAGGGCAGCTTAGCCGTTGAAACATGTCATGTTGAAGAAGCTCAAACAACATGTCATGTTAAAGAAACTTAGAGATGCATAGGTTAAAAAGCTTAGGCGTAGAAGCCTCCTGCCAATAAATAAGAGGCAAAAGCCTTTTATCAGGAAGATGGAATAGGTGGTTAAACTTGAGGGAAAATGATGTTTATACAATTACTAGTAAAGGCAAGGTAATTCTATTGTTTCCAATCTACTTGCTTCATTTATAGATTACCTTATAACTTAAGGCTTTTATAAGTATTTATAAAAGTAAATCTTTTATTTTTAAACTGGGACAGTGGAATAGTTTCTTAAGTAAATTTTTTATTTATTTAGTAGTTCTTTTTGTTGAGGGTTACCATGGTGATGCATCAGTGACCTTCTTTTACAGAGATGTTGATGAGGAAGCGAGGAATTTGATTGAAGCTCATACCATGTATAATTATATCTTAGTGAAGTATATCTGAAGCCTCTTATTCATGCAATAGTCTTAGATTTTAAATCAACAATATGTTAAAAAAAAGATGACACACTGAGCTGTTAAACCTTTGAATCTTGCTATACCTTAGTATTTGCATTAACTTACCAGCCAGTTAATAAGAAAATATTAATTACAATAACCAAGAATATTTGTCTGAATATATTTATCAGTGTCTTTATAGTTTTAATATGCTGCTTTTTACTATATACATATACACACACACACAATACCTATTAAAGGTGCTTCCAATAATGACCCATACCCATCAGTCCTTGCAACCCTTAATATTTTCATTATGTTTTTGTATTCTTTCACCAAAAAACATTCCTCACCATATTATCACTAATGCTTGAAAGCTTTTCATGGTATGCAGCTGGTAACTGTAGGGAACTTCTCAATGTGGATGTTATTCTAACTGAAAAGAAGTTTAGAAGAGGAACAATTGTGGTTTCTTTTTCATTATAAATTATAGATAGACTAGCCATTTTGTACAAAGCCTGGTAATCGAGGCTGGGATCCACAAGTCATGGCTCCTCTGTGCCTTTCAGAGACAGGGGCAGCAATGGAGGGCTTATATGCATCTGGTCAAGTATGTGCTGTTGGGATCAGCAACTTCTCATCCAAGAAGCCATGGGACCTGCTCAAGATTACCAAAGAACCACCTGCTGTCAATCAGGTACAATGCTACCCTGTTTGGCAGCAACCTGTGCTACACATTCTCTGCAAGTCTATTGGAATTTGTCTCTTGATAATGATTCAAAGGATTCTCAATTGACTTTGATCCTGTTACCATATGTGTGCTTAGTCTTGATTGTTTGAAAGATTTGAATGCTGGTGTGTGTGTTGCAGGCATGCTTCCCTCTAAGATCTCCTGGCTCTTTAGTTAATGATTTGAATGTCAGTATCTATGTTGGTTACAAATTTAACATACTAGCATTCATGGTTCCTGTGTAATTCTCATGCTATTTTGTATATAGGTATAGAAGGGAATGTGAATCTAAATCTCAGTCTTATTTTGTTAGGAAAATGTCTTGTGTTTAATCTTGAATCAAGCTTCTTGCACATTCCAGTGTTTTCTGCTTGATAGAAGGTATTTTTCTGCTAAAACTTTATATTTTCTATTGTAAGCTTCCTTTTTTATTTCAGGTGTAGAGATAGTGAAGTAGTGAACAATAAAGGCCAAGATCAAGCAAGAAACATCTCATCTGTAGCAGAAGTAATAAAAGCTTATTAAAGAATCATCTAACTTTTATTCCTTAACTGCCAGTCCAAGGTACACTTTCGCTTCCAATCATCAAACAGTGTACTGCCTTTGGAAAAAAAGGACATGATCTCACTCACATCCTTAAATATATGTCTGAGAAAAGAAAATAAAAGGCAGCACTTGGGATAGAATAGATATTAGAACAGACTTAGTTTCTTAACTTTACAGACTGTGGTGGAAATTATACAAATTAATAGATAGAATTGCAATAGAGGGAGAAGGGAAAAGGTGGAGAAATAGAATGAGACAGTTGAGGAATTAACAAGATGTTTGAAATTTTATTTGAAAACTGTTGAATATAGTGCATTTGATACATGTAGAAAAGTAGAAGCTTGAAGATAATAAAAAGGTACTGAAAATTAGTTGAAGTATTTGAGATTCTGATTGGGGCAAAATCATATATGTATTTTTTCTGATGAAATGAGAAGGAGAATGGTAGTATATAAAAGAGGAATAGTCAAAGATTACCACCTACATAAAAGCTTTATGGAGATATTTAGGATTTACAAACCATTAGAAAATATTCTCATGAATCAAAATCAAGAAATATACTATCAATTTGTATTCATCTAGCGAATGTTTAAGGTTTTTTTTATTAAGGTCCATCTATCATATTTAGAAATAAGAATTCTTCCATTCATCTTATTTTTCTTCTTCCTTTTTCTTTTTCTTTCTTTTTTTTTTTTTGGCATAATTTTTACAGTCTACATGTTCCTTTTTCATGATATTGCGGTTGTTGCCGGTGTGGGAAACCAGGCCAATTTTGTGTTCGTTAAGGACTTCAAGACCGATGACAATGACTCTGTCAGAATGGAGGTGAAGCAATAAGGATTGCTCTTGAGAATCTCCAAGACTAGCTCAATTTTTTTTCATGTGACCTTTGTTTAAATCTTTTCCTCTACTTCTAGAGTTTGCTTGCTATTATACTTTGTTTTCATTTGGTCCTCTTTGATTGATGAGAAAATGATGGAAAATTTCCAAGGAAAATGCAGCTTAATGCTTAAGTCAGTTTGGTTAATTTTTGAAAGTTATAATAATTATGTATCAGGCATGGGTTATTGTAAAATTTTTTTCTTCCACTGAAGTTTTAAATTATGGAAATACTGCATAAAGATTTTAGTAGTTGTTTCTTTTGTTTTCCTTTATTTAGAGTGACATTTTCTTAGTTAGAAGGATAATCAAATTTAACTTATTATTAAGGAGATGGAGGGAGATGAAGGTTATGAAGCTTTGTGTTGAGTATTCTTATGGATATAATGATATATAGAGAATGCAGAGGTTGGCAGAATTAAACTTTAACAAGATTATATTGAATTGGTAGCAAGAGTTCAAACTTTGGAATCAAAGAAATGACTCTAGGAGTTCAGTTGCAACAGGAAGCCGTTCAGGGTGTTGCATGCATGTATAGTTAGTGGGTTGCATTGTAGATCAATATTAGGATCTGGCCAAATTTATCAATTCACTCTTTAGCTAATTTAATTGTTTCACTTAGTTGTAAACTAATATTACCAGTCACTTCCAACTCAATGACCACACCCATATAAGTACTGAATCTTATCTCATAATTAACTCAATGTATCCTGTCCTCTAGATTAGATTGCTGATCCTTTTTCCGTCCTTTGTTCTTATCAATGGACTCCCATAGAAGGTCAGGATTGTTATCTATGGTGCGTTGTAGTTCTTACTTTGCTGCTTGGTGCTTATCATGCATATGTGATAGTTCGTCCAAGAAAAATGAAGTTTGAAATAAATGATCAAGAGGTATCTCAAGAGTTGGAAGCACCATTTTTAGCAATTTAAGAAATTATGTGGTGGTTGGTACATTAGTGTATTTTTTGTGATATGAATCCCCAATCCTACTTAATGTTTATCATTTATTACATCAATTTTACATCTAATTTCATGGCTTACTAATCTTCTAGGAATTTTTTTGGCATAATTTCCAATATCATTACTGAAGTGGATAATTCTTTATCCACGATGAAAGAATAAATAATTAAATACTACTTTAGGTTGTGAAGAGAAAAACTACCATTTTTTATTCTTTTATACGGTTATGCAGTTTTTTTGTTTCTTTACTCATGTTACAAATGTAAAATCAATGTAGTCCTGCCTCAAAAAAGTCTAATAGACCTTTGAATTTTGAAGCTTTATTTTGCTTCAATAACATCTGCAGGTTGGTCTTTGCATTTTTTGCTTTCTAGAGAAAAGATATTCACATGATTCCTTTTCCTTGCCTTTTGTTGTCTACAGTCATAGAAGCTATAATATTTTTGAGGGATTGAAAGAAGTAGAAACATAAATACTACTTCTATGTTTGGCACTTCTCAACATGACTTCCCATTGTTGTTTGTCAAGTGTTAATGAATATTTTTTTATCATTGTATTTGAATTTTACAGCAAGTTGCCT